AGCAGCAGTCAACCGTAGAGCTACACTTGAGCGTAGCTGAGAAGCAGGAAGGCAGACAGAAAAAGACTAAAGGTTAAAAATGTTAGTAAGAGAGCTTGAATAATAAAATTGAAGCAAAATATATGCATTAGGCGCAAAAGATTTTTCTTACTTATAGTAGCTTTAATTATTTAAAAAAATGTGATTTTGGCTCAAATTCTAATTTTTTTTTGCATTTAGAGCAAATTGTCATTCATGGGTTGTTCTTCATCCCCTAAACTCACAAATTTTTGTCTCACACATTAGAGATTGTATGCACGACAAACATTTGAACTGATTGTGAGTAAAATTTACTGTCAAAAATCATATTATTTTTATTTTTTTACTAGAAGTTGTTATTATGAAATTTTCAAGTATTTTGCCATTTACAGTCCTGAATAAATGCGCCAAATTTGATGGAAGTTGGCAACACACTAAAGTACATTTATTTCAAAGGAGACCTTAATTCATAGTTCAAAAAAAAGTTTTAATTCATAAAAACCTTGGATAATTGTCATTATTCATAGCGTGGTCCTTGAAATTATGTTTTTCACGATTATGGTTTCCAAGTTTAAAGGAACAAAATCAATAAAAATTACTACAATAACCAAAAAATGATCACAATACTACCAAAGCTCTGGGTTCCACTTAAAAGCTCATATTTTTCAAATAATGTGATATATTTTTTTTCTATTTTTTCTTCAAAATTTATAGATTATATAATTAATCAGCTACAAGTGTTTATTATTAGTAATCTTCTTACAATCAGCCCTTGATTTAAAAACGTGTAAGAATTCGCGCGAATACACAACCACACACTCCACCACTCTGAATTTTATATAGGAACTTCGCGAAGGGTTTGCAGGAATGATAATTCACAGGTCGGCGATTTGTTTTCCTTTAAAGAATAACACGGAGGGTGAAAATTCGTCGCGAACAATCAATATTTCTTTAGGAAAAGTTTCGTTTGTGTTTTATCTTAAACGGCGGCAAATACGATAAAACTTTTTCCAAAAAACATCGACTGAGTGAAAAAATCGATTTTAACTCTGAAGTTTTCAGAAAATTTCTTGTTGAATAAAATTTTGAATATTCTAGCTATATTAACGCACAGTTGCAGAAACTTAAATAAATAACTATATCAATTCTTTATAATATATATTCATTATTTATGCATAGACTCGTAAAATATGTGAAATTAATATAAAGTAGAGTGGGCCATTTAAAGTGGTAGCACCATTTAAAGTGGGAGCATATGTCTAGATAAAGCACATTTTTTTATTTCGGCTATAATTTGTTTTGGTACAAGGAAGTATGTTACAGCTATTTTAAATAGATTAATAAAAATATTTAACATTTTTATCAGAAACGGTTCTACTTTTTATCAGAAATGGTCCACCCTGTAAATATCTTTTTTCTCAAAGATTCAATATGATTTATGAGAATTGAATCTTTGTTTCGCAATAGCTCTGTATAATTTTTTTATGGTTCATAAGTTTCAATATCTAGATGTTAACAAAAAGTATCATGTTCCTTGATCGTTCTTATTAATTTTATCGAATAATATATTCAATATTCTACTATTCAAGGTATGTTTGAAGAAATTTGCATGCAAATTTACACAGGCTTTATTTAATTTCATCCCGATTCGCAAATACATTATTTTCTTTATTATCTTTTCTTAGAATCCCTTACTGAGTCAAAATATGGGAACGATAACAACAACGTCGGATGGGCGAGATAATAATTTTTATTTCTCATCTGAAATACAGAGGTTGCCAATCTCACACCTGTATGATTTTGACACTGATCAACCTATTTGAATGATTTCAAAAAATATTCGATTACTATTAGACGTTCCTATTTTTGCCAAAGACAGGTCCAGCCGTTTCGGAGATAAGGGACAAAAAGTGCAGAAAATGGCAATTCAGTTTTTGAAAGAACGGAGCATCCGATTCAAATGATTCAAACAAAATTTTACATGTATTGCCAGAGTGGAAAATTTATTATAGTTTTTCGAAAGCAGGTCCAGCAATTACGCAGGGTAAAAATTAAAAAAACGGTACTAGGTGATCTGAAATGCTCAAAACAAACCATTATAATTGATTCATATACATGCAGAAATATTGATACACAGATGATTGGTAGACACAGGTGTACAGATAGACAAGTTGAAAGGTAGATAGGCAGACATATAGAAAGGTAGACAGGTAAACAAGTGAAAAGATAGAGAAGTAGATTAGTGTGTTGGTAAACTGGTTGGCATGTATGGAGGTACAAACGTAGGCAGCTAGGTAGGTATGTTAGTTAGGTAAACAAAATAGACTGTTAGACAGGTAGACATAAACAATTCAGATACTTTTTGATTAAATCCATTATATCAAGAAATTCATGCATCTTGCCTTAAGGCAATTTCTATCTAGTTAATTTATTATTTTTGGTAAAATGGTGTGAACCAAGTAGTACAGAGTATACAAAATGTTGAGACGTAAAATTAACAAGTATTTGTTTAAGTCTTTTGCAATTGAATTATCCATTATCCAACACTTCTAGTTATTGATTGATACAAATATTGATTCTATTCTGAATATTTAAAAGGTTTATTTCCCCTGATTGGTGCGAACCGGAGATGTGAATGAATCGCTCCTCTCTCGTTTAGAGAAGGTTATTTGATTTCGTAATTAGTTTTTCTTTGCTCGAGGATTTTCGCAGTATTACGTTCGTCGTTGTGTTACTTGTTTTAGGCACGTGCTACGTTTTATAATATCAATTTACTTTTTCTCTATAAAGATAAATTACTTTTATTTTGGGCATCACTTTCTCATATAACGTTTTGAACCGTTGCGCCAAAGGTAAAATCTTTAAAATGATAAGAAATATGATATCAATTTTAATTTGCAACAAGAATTTACTTTGAAATCTGCGTCGAAGTAAAAGTTCGATTTTATATTACAAAACATAAAAACGTTAATACCCATCCAAGAATTAATTTTTGAACTTTATCGTTGAAACAATAGTGGTTCATTTGTTACGGAATAGTTGTGATAGAGTATTTGCATGCATTATCTCACGACGAGGCGTAGAAAGTTCAGATAGAATTATTATATTTTAAACTGCTCACAAGCGTGTATCGAAATGTCGAATTATTTGCAATTTTACGATGCAAAATCTTTGTATAGTTATGGAAATCGAATGCAAATTGCTGTCCCAGAGCCGTTGAATCTATGATTTGGGAAAGTTTTCTTTGCGACGTAGACAATTGCAAATTATCATATGGCTTTAGTTTGACACAGTTTCTGGGTAAATGATTTTGAAAGTTGGCTTTTTGTTGTAGATATAGAGAAATTTCAGTCGCGACAATATAAGTGTTCATTTAGTTCATATAACTTTCTGGTCAATAAATTAATACACTTTTTGCACACTAAAATTACTAGATCTTGTTCAAAGAACTGTTAGTATATATATGACTACTTTTGAAAGCATTGCAAATGCTTTCAAAATGCAATGCAAATTTACGATATTTTCTTAACAGCCAGGCATGGGGGTTCTGAGTTTCCCAAATGATTCGAATCAAACATTATTCTGTATAATTTGATAAGTTTACTACTCTCACTTTTATATTATTCTATTGTGGTTCATTAAAATTTCAATAGTCTTAACTAGATCCTAATAGACTCAATTGACTCTCTATTACCAGAAGAGGCTCATATAAATTTTATTATAACGTTAAAAATAGGGATTCTATTTGACCATATGGTAAAAGATTTGATCTTGCAATTACAAGTTTCTATTGCTGCTATTAATTGAAAAAATTATCAAATAGCAGTAATATATAAAAAAAATGTAACTAAAATATATCAAATATAGTAAGTTTTACCATTGGGTTTTCAAAAAGCGATGTTATGCAAGTATATGGCTTTTATGTGACTCATAGGTAAAAGCTAGGACACGGGATTTAAATAACGGTCGCATAAAAATACAAGTTTGCAAACTATTCATTGTTATATAATCTCTATTGAAATACTGCAAAACTACAGCATTTACAACCATTGCTCCCAGAAATAGTTTCGCAGTACTCAACTCGGCTATAAAAATTCATTCGCTTTTCCTTCCATTGCGTTAAGCGGTCGACAACGGGCAAACAAACAAATCCGCGGCTTTTGTATAAAGTTACACGAATTTAACCATAGTTACAGCGATCATTTGAGTTGGGAAACTCAGATTTAACAGTTGAAAACGAGCTGTGAGAATGTTTTTCAAAGAGCCATTGTCTATGTGTAATCATGCGCCTCGGGCCAGTATCATAGTACTATAATAGTTAGGCTGCGGACGTATGATCCACACAAAACATTTTTTTATTAAAGGCTTAATACCCACAACATTTAGCTTAAACTACAATCAATTTATATACATAATGGAATTTATTTTGGATTTTCATTTGGAAATATGTGTGCCCTAGGTGGAAAGTTTTTGGTATTGGTACTGTAAAAATTTTCTTTGTCATTGATGCATCATTTACTTTATTTGAATATTTTGGATATACAAGTATTTATAAGCACTTTTCAGTATTGCCTAATACAAATTTAAAATTTTCAGTAATATTTTACTAGTTTGTACATGAAAACCTACCCTAACGACTAAAAATACGACTGGACCGTGGACATTGTGAGTTTTTCGCAAAGATTTTTTGCGCACATTTGATACACGGTTATTTTACGAATCGGACGAAATTTTTCATTGAACCGTGTGTATGCGCTACTAAATAATAAAGGAGAAAGAACGCTTTGATTTGTTTTTGCTCGGATTCTGCTATATCAGATTTTTTGCTGAGGCACAATGAAAATATCGTATATCCTAGCTATAATTAACCTGGGTTTATTCGATACTGCTGTAAAGTAATAAAGAGAAAAATAATTTATATATTTATTGATCTACTAATGATTTTTAGGTTTTCTGATTATAATTTGATCTTTCTTTTCTAGTATGAACCTTTGCTCGATCACGCAAGCAGTGCTCCTTACATGCATCATGTGATTTTGTATGAATGTCAGGGCAACAATGGTGGAACAGGATTGGATTTGGAAACTATGTCAAGGGAACGTGGTAGACCCTGCTATCAACCAGATAGTCCGCCCCTGTCTTGTACCACTGTGGTGGCAACTTGGGCTAGAGGATCTGAGGTAAGGAGAAGTTATTTTTTAAAAAATATCTGGAAATGTTATTTAATAGGACACATGTCAAAGATGTTTGCGATTACTATATTATGTTCGGGAGTAGTCATATTGCCAGGTATTTTTATTTGTGTATCCTTCTATCATAGGCCAAAGGTTACCGCTCGAGTGCTTCTAATGGCAGTGTTCAATTTTGCGAGTCGGCCCTCCCTCGCTTGTAAATTACAATGCCATATTGAATATTCTATAACGCAATTAGTCCCAGTATTAAAATTCTCAGTAACGTACAACTATCCCATGCATATGTAATTAGGAATTATGTATGCATTGCTCAACACAACAAACGTTCGCATATAGTGTCCCACGAATTGAAAGAAATAAGATGCAATTAGCTAACGATAGGAAATCAAAAGTTGTGACACAGAAGTCTACATCCTTGAACAGATGAGAGAATATGTCTCAGGAACGAGAGTGAATGTTTGCTGATTGTGTATTGATACAGGACTGGACTGTTTGATATTAAGACTGAGATATATATCAAAACTTTAGATCATTATTTAAGGAAACGAGGTTTTCAGCAACTGTTGTATGTTGTCATTCATTGCCATATATTACCATATCATAATTAAGAAGTATTCAGGCAATTGGAGGTACAGTGATGACGTGAGATACAGTTTTACGCTAATTTATGTTACCAAACTGATCTGTAGTTAAAGGCAGCAAAAAATCTGCTCTAGCTTTACAGTTATTTTACGTTTTATGAAAACCCAGAGTTGACTGTGGGAACTCTATTTTAGTTGTATAATGAAAAAATCAAGTAAAACTAGTTGGTTTGGTATTTAGCCTTGAGGCAAATTACATGAACTTCCCGATATGTGTAAATAATCGACTTAATCAAAAAAAAAGTGTAAATAATATACTTCATCAATCCTACTTAAAAAAAAACGATAATAATTTTAGCAAAGTTTGACGAATTTTTAAAATTAAACTACTTGTTGTAAGGCCGTAATATTACAGTAAGTTCTATAAGACCATGATGTATATCGCCAAAAAAGTTCCATGAAAAAAGGCTTAAATTTTTTTTTAACAGTTAATTACAAGAAAACGGCTCGGTAGATTTTCACCTAGAATTAATCAGCATCATTCCCAAATGATATCTTTCGAACAGTTTTTGATTTTTCAAAATCGGTTCGGTAGGATGAGCTTAAATGTGGACGAAAATTTAACACTTTTTTTCAACAGTTAATTACAAGAAAACGGCTCGGTAGATTTTCACCTAAAATTAATCAGCATCATTCCCTAATGATATCTTTCGAACAGTTTTTGATTTTTCAAAATCGGTTCGGTAGGATAAGCTTAAATGTGGATGAAAATTTAACACTTTTTTTCAACATTTAATTACAAGAAAACGGCTCGGTAGATTTTCACCTAAAATTAATCAGCATCATTCCCAAATGATATCTTTCGAACAGTTTTTGATTTTTCAAAATCGGTTCGGTAGGATGAGCTTAAATGTGGACGAAAAGTTCAACACTTTTTTTCAAATTACAAAGAAACGGCTTGGCAGATCGTTGCACAAATCGTCCTCACCGAAATACATCAAATGGCTTTTAAATTTCTAAAATCGGTTCAGGCGTTTTTGAGAAAACGTCGATCAAAAGTCTAATTTTGACAAATGCCAAAAAGACCATACTGATTTTTGCAAACTTTGACGAATTTTTAAAGCTGAACCAGTTGTCGTAGGGCCGTAATATTTTAGTATGATCTAGAAGACTATGGTATCTATCGTTAAAAAAATAATCATAAAAATCGTCGAAATTTTTTTTTTTTAAATTTTATTACAAGAAAACGGCCCGGCCGATCTCTACCAAAAACTAATCAGCACGATTCCCAACCAATATCTTTCGAACGGTTTTTGAATTTTCAAAATCGATTCATAACTGCGGGCTAAAACGTGGACGAAAGAGTTTTCACTTCTCTGCTATTTACGAAAAAACGGTTTGGCCGATCGTCGCACAAAACTGACAAACAATAGTCCTCATCGAAATACATCGAATGGCTTTTAAATTTTTGAAATCGGTCCAGCCGTTTTTGAGAAAACGGCGATTTACGGCAAAAAATCTGTTGGTGCACACGCACACACACACACACACACACACACACACACACACATACTTTTTCCAAATTTGGTCTCATTCGATTCAGAATGGCTTGAAACGTCGAGAAAACATAAAATTAGCGAATCGGATTTTTTTATGAAAACATAAACTTCTCCTTCGGGAAGTTAATAATATAAAGATAAATTGTAGAAAGTATGCGTACTAATTGGAGATAATGTAAAAATATTTTGAAAATAAGCAATTTTTTACACACTTAGGATTTCAACTTTTGAGTTGAATGGTGTGCAGGTCTGTTTATGGCTTGTCCACTTAGGATGTCAACTTCTCAATTACCAAGGATTTTATTTGGAGAATAAAAGTTATTAGTTAGTTTTTCATTAGTGAATTATTGATGTAGAAGTATTTCTATTTTCCACTCATATGGGGACAGATTATTCTGTTTATTGTCAATTAGATCATATCATGTCATGTTGTTCTGGTACACGTAGTCCGCATTCCATCTCCATATAACTGGTCACAATTATTTATATCTATATTTCGAGATAAATGATTAGGTTTAGAACAATTCTACATTCATAAATTATATTTTGTTTAATGATTTAAGTTCAAATTTTAGGTGAACTGACACCTGAGAGAGATGGCAGTTCTATTTTTTTTTTGGTTGAAAAATTTATATGTTCGGTTAACATAGTCTTGAATTGTTTGATATTTTTTGAGTTATATTTCTATACTTGCTTAGGTAATATCGAATCTGTTTCCCAAATATTATTTTTTATTTCATCAAAATATTCAATATTCTATTCTGTACATATTGCATTGTTCGTGCCTTGAGCTCAAATGTTGACGTGGAATGTTGCAAATTGGTTTCCCATCATCATAATGCAATATATAACTATCGGATAGTTTAGCAAGCAAAACCAAATGCGAAGATTATTTCGATATTTCAACGTTAGTAATACTATGCAAGCGTTATTGACGGGTATTACTTCCTAAGCGAGAAAATTGCCCTCTGTGCCATTTTGTAAATTGTTTACACTTTGAAGAACAAACGTTGGAAGTATGCCATTCTAAAGAATAAACCTGAAATAGATAAAATAAATTTTTTACACTTGTGATTCAATTTCTATTTATATCGCATAAAATTATTCCATTACTGTTACAAATTGCTTACTAGATACTAATTCCGAACCAATCTATATTCAATGATTGGGGTACTATAATATTATTCCATATACCGCTAACGAGGCAAGACATTAATATTATTGATATGTAGTCTACCGAGCGAGCAACTGGAGAGACAGGTAATAATAATGAACAAACCATATGAAATATTTCAACGGTTATCGATTCGACAAATCCGATATCGTTATAATTACCTAGAACGACTGCAAGTCGTAACTTATGACGAAATGTGGCAAGATTTTTTTCTCTCGTATTTTTCTGCAGTGCGAGTTGGGCGTCACCTCACTACTAAGGACTCCATGCGCAACCGTTGCACTTAAATTAAATAAGTCAATAATTTTTTTTTATTTAAAAATTAAGTCAATTTGTTTTGGAGTTAGTTGCGATTATTATAATCATATTAAATAATAACCAGTTATATTGCCAACCAGTAATAAATAAAAAGTAATAAATTTCTTAAAGTAAATCGAATGCCAATTACCTACTATTTTTGTATGGATATTTAGATTATCTTAGTATTCAAATATAATATATATATTTTATGAAATCTAACACATTTTTTATTTGCAACTAAAATTACAACTGTCCAGTTAAGGACATTTAGCAAATTTGTGGAATTTACAATTAAATTGTCATACGTAATAGGGACATTGTGTAATATCGTGACATGTTGGGAAAACAACTCAATAGTTGTTTTTCCATTCGTTATAAATAATATTTACAATATTTTAATGATAATAATATAAACTTAACTATTTTCTTATAGATAATTTTTTATAAGTAATAAATAAGTTATTACTAATTTAATTGAACTATAATAATTAATTAATTTGATTGAAAGTTTTATTAATTCATTCAATGTGTATGTGTTTAATTTAACAAGTTTGATCAAAATAACTCCTACTAGAATTTTTATTACATTTATGCTTATAACAAACTTTGCTTACTTATTTGCAACCATATAAAAATGATAATTTCACTTAATTACCGGCAAATTGTGACATATTCTGTACATTCTGGTTATCGTATATTTATAAAAATGTAATCATGTAATTTTTTACTAAACTCTGATAATAATTATTTTATGACTTATTACAAAATTAATTTTTTGGTCGATCTTGCGCACGAAAATAATTATTGGTAGTTAACTTCTTAATATTTCAAAAAAATATTTAGCATCATTTTATTTTGTCAAACAAATATCGTAATTTTGATTATTTAGTATCATTTTATTTTGTCAAACAAATATCGCAATTTTGAAAATTCAGGATCATTTTATTTTGTCAAACAAATATATTGATTTTGAATAGATAGAAACTCAGTTTTTTGGTCGATTTTGTGCTCGAAAATAATGTGGTTAAACTCCTAATATTTAAAAAAAAAATAGTATTAATTTATTTCACACAAATATCAAATACAAAGTTGAGGTGTATGGAGTCCTTAAACGCACAAAGATGATTTTATCAGCGAAACTGTTCTCGGGCAACTTTATCGATGACAACAGATCGCACCTAATAAATAGGCCCTGATAACGCCCTCAGAATTAACTTAAGTCGATCGCAAGTTACACAAATCTTTAAGACGATATTGAAAGTGTTTATACAACGAGAAATATTATTAGGAATTGCTACAAATAGATCTAAATTTAATGAGTTTGTATCATATTATTAATGGATTTTTTATTAAAAACAAATGAACACCTTCATA